ATTATTTATTTTTGAACATTAGACTGATAATAATAGTAGTGATAATACAGATGACAAGAAGGTTGATGATAGCGCGAGATTTTTCGCGCGTATTTGTCACGAGGCGATATTAATCCTAGACTATTTTTTTTCAATGTTGGTTACTAATATCTCTCCCTTCTTGATAGGCATTCCTCAATGATTTGCTCTCAGAAGTTTTTGTGGCCAGCAATAGGGAATTGATGAAAAGTAGGACTAGTAAGTAAAACTATATTTAATAAGAAAATATAAAATACGCTATCGAGAATCCGCATAAATGGGACACGTCTACTATAGTGAAGGAGATAGTTTCCAAAACATATCCGTCGCGAAAAAGCGGATATTAGTAGTTTAGGGTTAAGACGCGGCATCCGACGGAGATGCCTCTCGCGGCCCAAGTGAGAGAGCTCTTCGTTTTCCGCGGGATCGCCGGCCGATCTCGGCGGAATCGTGCTCGCGAAACAACGAGCTCGATCGGCCAGCACTCGGAAGAGAGGCCGAAGAGGGATCGACGCGGAGGCCCTTCGTGCTCGTTTCTAATGGCCCAGGATTTCCTTACACACAAAAGCCCGCGAGGAGAGTGAGTGATCGTCGCGAGCCCCGCGAATAAATTACGTGGCAGCCTATGCGGCTGCATAAATTAATTTCAGCCGGTCTGCCCATAAATATTCCCCCCTTCGAAATCGCTCCTCCGCTCGTCCGCGCGCTCGTCTAAGCTCGCCTAAGCGTTACCAACATCGTAATTTGCATCGGTCGCGCTCGTAAATGGCGCATTAATGGATTTATATGCGCGCCAATGATCTTTAAATTCACCTCGCTGCCGATCGAGCACGATCGAGATCGAGGTGGTCGCGGCATGTGGAAAAGTCGGTTGTCAATCGATGTCGCGCCGCAATACTGAAGAACTTGGTCTTATCTGTCATGTGAGAAAAAGTTATGAAGTTATTTATGAGGGAAAAGAACTCGTTTCCGCTTGATTGGCGGAGTAAGACTCGCGTTAAAAGTATGCCAAATATGGGCGATCAATGAATTTAGTCGTTGCAGTAGCACTTTGCGATTATTTTTATACAATACGCTCGCTATAAACATGCTCCGTTTCCTTTTCTTCTCCATTTTCATGACATTTTGGCTCCGCATGAAGAAAAGAATTTGTTCGAATATCTCGTATCAAATTATTATTATTACTTCTCGCGTTTATCGTGAGAATCTTTTTTGATAAAAGACTTGTAATTGGGGATTTCATGTTGGAACATTTATAACTTTTCTTCGACGATTTTCCAAGCGCTTGTGCGGAAAATAATTATATGATGCGGCAACGGAAATGCGATGAAAATAACGTACTTGTTCCAAATGCGCGAGTAGTATTGTTTCCCTCCTTTTATATAAGCCGGACGTCGTTCCTCGGGAGAGAAAGAGTATATTGCATATTGCACGAGACTTCGTGGGGTGGCGGCGCACATCGCACGTCCATTGTTGCAATTGGGCAGATGCGAAGAAAGGCCGGTGGTGTGTTGCAGTTCGCTTCGTGCCTGAATGCACCGTCATTACCGGCGCGTAATGATCGCATTGTAACGGTATCAAACTTATTATTCGCCGCGCACGGTAACGGGGATGCGCCAGAAGGTGGAAAAGAAAAGAAAGAAAAAAAGGGGGAGGAGGAGGAAGAAATGTGCACTTGGATCGCAGGGTTCGCGTCTTTCACGAGCCGAAAAACGTAACTTGAAAGCAGACGTTTCGTTCTCGCAAATTCACTAAGAATATCTTTTTTTTTTCAAATTTCAGATTTAATATTTTTTTTTTCAAGAATTGTTTTCCCAAAATATATGTCAATGCTCTCTGCAAATCCTTCCTTATACAGAAATATAAAAAGCTATAACGAATGCGCTTTGCTGATAGCTCGACGCGACAGTGTTAACTTTTTTTATAGCGCAGTACACCTCGCGAGAAAGAGGAAGAGCGGCGGAAAAGGGAGCATCGTCCTTTGATCCTGCGATCCATTCGAGCAAACCCGGAAAGATCGGTGCCAGATACCGGTTGGTAATTATTTCAAAACGATCGCCGTCCCTCTCGCTATTAGGTCTATCAGCGATCGCGATGACAGATAAGATCGACCGCCCTCTTTGTGCCGATATTTACCAGTGCAGTACGGATAATATCCTGGCATCCTCTTCGATCCTGAAAGAGAGCATCTGGCTTCTCCACGTGACCGGAGGCTCCTTTGTCCTCCATTCTGTTCTTATCATGACGATCACGGCTTCAAGCTGGATCGAACGTTAAGGGGAGCGTAGTTGCGACGCATTGACGTTTCACTTGAATCTTGCAAATTTCATCGGTTCCGACTCTAATTAATATTCTCAATTTGCGCGTAACATAATAGCATAGCACATTTCCCTCGCTGATGAAAAAATAACAAAGTATATTAAACGGACGTAGATGTGACGTGTATTAATTAATCATATCGAAAGATTCGTTAAAGTTGTAAGAAAAAATATATACGAGGTTTGATAAAAAAATACGCGGAATTTTCGTTTTTCTCAAAAAATCATTATTTATTCATCGATATTAATTTTGTCCCCTTTAAAGTACTCCCCATTAGATATAATACATTTGTGCCAGCGTTTTTTCCAATCTTCGAAACACTTCTGGAACGCAATTTTCGATATGGCGTTTAGCTCTTTCAGCGATTCTGTCTTTATCTCTTCAATGCTGGCAAAATGTTGTCCTTTCATAGTTCTTTTCAGCTTCGGGAATAGGAAGAAATCACAGGGGGCTATGTCCGGCGAGTACGGAAGCTGAGACATCATAACAGTGTTATTTTTGGCCAAAAATTCACGAACAAAATTTAACAATTTCGGAACAAATTTTGCTGCCACACGTTTCATGCCCAAACATCCGAAAAAATTGCTTGGCATATCATTTGGAGCCAAATGATATGCCAACATCATCAGCAACCTCTCTGATAGTGATTCGGCGATTGTCTATAATCATTTTCTTCACTTTTTCGACGTTGTCATCGGTTGTTGATGTGCTGGGGCGTTCGGGGCGCTCGTCATCTTCAAAGTCTTCACGGCCCTCTTGGAAACGTTTGTATTACTTGTAAACGCTTGTTTTATTCATAGAAGATTCGCCAAAAGCAACATTCAACATTTCCAATGCGGTGCTGCATTTTATTCTAGTCTTAAAGCAAAATTCAATGCAAATTCTTTGTTCCATTTTTTCCACAAGTTAAAAATCGCCGAGCATACCAAAACACGTGTAATCTTCTCGACAGCCAACAATAAAGTAAGCATGCAATATGGCTACCAATGTCAAGATGTCAGGAATAAGTGTACCAACACAACAAAAAAATTGTGACAATTGGACTTATACAGCCCGCGAAATTTAAAAATTCCGTGTATTTTTGATCAAACCTCGTATTCAAAAGAATAATACTGTGCGAGAAAACGCATACTGAGAGAAAAAATGATCCAATTAAAATTATATTTATTTCTGATCTCAATCATATTTTTTGACTCTTCTAATAATAGTAGTAGTGACATACATATGAACAAGATTATCATCACTAACATTACATAAGAATCTAATAGAAAAAAAAGATTTTTTTGGCCATAATTTATAGTCATTCTTTCTCTGTGTGATAGTTAATACCAAACATTTTTTTCTCAGTGTAAGAGCGACGTCGTCACGCATCTTGAGATACCAATTAATCGTACGTTACCTCGGCGATTTGTGCTCTCATACGATTAAGTAATCGCCCATAGAGATCGTAAATAAGCAGCGCGTCTCGACAAACAAAATTCTTCACGGTCTCTCTGCGTTGAAACTCCGGTCTCGCTGCCCTCACGATTTTCCTGAATCCGTCAGCGAGGCGGAATAAGAGCAGTCGACGCATGCTCATCGGCCTGTTATAATTTCGGTTCTATTAGCCGCGCGACGGGGCCCTAAAGCTCTCCCGAAGGGATTTTTCGGAGATCGTAAAGTTAAGCACGGACCCCACGGAGATACCGTGTAACGCGCGTGCATGTGTGTGTGTGTGTGCGCGTATATACAACGCACGCCCGTGCGTTTCGCGCGTCGCTTGCTGTAGCTGCGTGGCGGAACGGGAGCGAGCGAACGGGCCCTGAAGAGGGTCCGCCGAGAGTGTACTGTCAAGTAGCATCTTGACACGGGACTCACAATGGCTACTTGTTAGCGCGCTGCGCCAACAGCGAGGGGAAAACGATCCACACACTTGCCTTTTTCACATCGAGCTCTTGCGTTTGGGTTACGAGCGCGCCTCTAACTGTGCCCTCGTGATCTTAGAAAAATAATCTCCCGGAGGAATTTTCACTCGGCCGTCTGTAATCGTTTCTGATTCGTTCGGCCGACCAGAGATCCGTTCGCGCAGGCTCACGGCAGCGCGGAAAGATAAGCTCTATCAATTGTTCTTATCTCTCGTTTCCCGTCAGATTCTCCTCATTTTTTATTCTAGGGCAGAGCACCCAATTCTTGGTATCTCTCTGTCATTGATACTCGAGAAAAACTGACTTTTTTCGCGACCAGCATTGCAGGTGAATTTCTTACCTGCATTCTGTGACTCTAAGAGGGAATCTTCTGATTAACTCCAAAGATCGAGAAGCTTTTACTGAAATATCAATAGCTAACGAAGATACTAATAACTGGGCGATTTATCTTAATTGTGCTTTAAGCTATGTCGCTCTTGCGTGCGTTGCGGTGCATTTGTCTTTCTCACTTTATTAAATATATAAACATCTTGAAATTCATCTGGATTTTTCACGTAGAACTTATTGTCCTGCAATTGCGACTGGTTCTCTAAATCGAGAGAAAGCTATCAACGCGTACACGTGCGCGCTATTACTTACCGCCTTCTAACACCCAGCCTGACACCCAAAGTGAAACGAAACGTCAAAGAGAGACCACGGGATATTATGATAGGGAGCTTGTGTGCGTGAGTACGAACGTAGATAATATTTTGCGTGTTATTACTTTAAATAACATCAACTTTACTCGATTACAGTTCGATATTACATCTCGTGATCTCTTATAGCTACTTGCGCATCGTCTTTCTTTCCATTCTCTCAGTCTCTCACGTGCACTCCCGCACACATACATACATATGCACACATACCGTCACACATACACACACACAACACACACACACTCTCTCTCTCTCTCCTTTTTCTCACTCTCACATGCATCGCCCACTTACGTGTACACACGCGCGCTTATACATGTCCACATTCACTGTCTCGCTCTCGGCAATTCGTCTTTTTAGTTGTGCAACGTTAAATTTGTCCGCTAAAACACACGAATAATAAGAACCGGAGAGGATCCAGGTGATAATTGTTAACAATATCGTCCATGCGGCGCATTTTCGTCTCGTTTATTCGCTTCTTCGACGCTTCTATCCTCCCCTATTTTTCTCTATCTTTTTCCTCTCTCTTTTTTTCTCTCTCTTTTTCTCTTATGCGCGAGTTGCGTGCGAGTGCATAATTTGTGCAAGAGTCGTTACGATTAACTATTCGTAAAAATTAATGCTTTAGCTTTGGTCGAATCGCAGCATTCGTTTCGTACAAAATCACCTAAAGATTTTAAGTGTAGATCAGTAGACTAAAGCTTCGCGAGCGCGAATTTCGAGAGCAATGACATAAGATAATGATGAGATTTTGAGAACTGCAAGTAATTTCCGCAAAGGGAAAATAAAAAAAGAAAACGAAACTCGAGGAAAGATTGTACAAATCGCTCGAGAGATATCTGTTTTGTGCACCGCGACTTGTGTAAAGGCGCGCTCTCGTAATATTTCGAACGCGAAAAGATAAAAGCAACGGTTGCTTCAGCACTGGTGACGTAAACATTAAGGCGGTTCGTGAATTCAAAAAAATAATGTCCGATCAAAATAAAAAATAAACATGCCTCTCTTATCCGAATAGAAAGACTAAGGTGGAAAGACTTGGGTAAAATTATTCCGTGTCAGCTATGAGAACGCGAGACTGTGCAGCTGGAGACTCGTCTCGTTCCGTGATTTATTCGCAGCCGATTTCGATCGATCCTTACATCTAACGTAATTTAATAAAACATACGACCTAATGAGATTGGCTTAAGTTTGAGCTTCTAAAGGCCGACCTTTCTGTTCTGACAATACTGCTTCTGTAAAAATTAAAAAAGTACCCGCTACGGATGTTCTAAAAGAAAAACGATTCTGTCAGAGAATAATGAACAAAATAAGAGAAAAACGTATGTGGTGTGTCTGTGTGTGTTCACTTCTCGCACGATATCTTCGTTGAGAGAGATATTTCCATATTAACCGATTTCGTCTTTCATCAGTCGTTAATATGCTTCTATCTATCCTAGCATGCGCAATGTGGCACTTGCGAGTTGTCGAATAAATATCTCGATGCGGCTTTGGGCATAATTATTTCTGCGAGGATCAACGGAGTATACGCAATGAGAATGTGGAGGATGTAAAATAAAAATAACGTGGTCGGCTCCGCCACATATTCACACACATACGTACACATATACACAGGTCGAAGGTATTATTATTTTCCACATCGTTTCTCTTTCTGTCTCTCTCTCTTTTTCTCACTCTACATCATTCCTGTCCCCTACCCTGTTTCGTCCCGAGGACTTCTCTCTCTCTCTCTTCCCATAAGGGAAATCCTTTCTCTCCTCCGACATTCGAGATAAGAATCTACAAGGCAATGTCGCAGCTAACGGAATATTCAGGACATCTGCGCGCGCGAGATACCCTACGAGTGGAAAGTCGACATTAGAGATGAATGTAAGCGCCACCAATTCGCTATGAAGGCGATTACACGCTCTCAATAATAATCCCCGTTCCTCGGTGAATGCTGTTTACTTACAGCGGCATGTCGTACATCGCGATTAAGTTCAATTACAAAATTACATTCGGTGTTAATGGAACTCGACCCCACCTTTTCATCGTGAGAAAATAAAATTGTCTCTAAGGCAATGAAAAAGAGTATAAAAAAAAATTAAGAATGACAGATACTCGCGATACTCGCGGATAAATAATAAAGTATTCTCCTCGACGGAGAAACAACAAACTGGAGCGATTCGTCTTGTTGTCTCGACTTTTCTGTCTTTGTTATACTTCTCGCGCAATAATTCTTTCCCTTCCCTTCCCTTGCATCCTTTTCCTTTCGCGCGCACACACATACATACATTCTTTTTCTCTCACTCTCTCCATCTCTTTCTCTTTTTCACTATTTTTAGATATATTTATTTACAGACTGTGAACTGCGAATAATAAATGATAACTTACGCGCTACCTTATGCTGCGACAGCGTTCACTGTCTACTGGGATCACTCGAAAACTTCGATCTCATCGGGTTGTTTTTAGTCAATTTGTAGCCAGATGTTCCGTTGGTAGTAATTATTTTTCACACGATTGATATTCCTACGCGGTAATGATTTTTTAAATAATAATTTTTCTCTTGCGCAGCTCCATCCATGAAATATGAACAAATATATGGGATCCTTTAATTGAGAAAATTTATGTCATTATGTTACTTTTCCTGACAAGAGAAGGACACGTTTCTAGAAGTAGAAACACACTTTTTGAATGCGGTTTGTTCTAAGTAGTAGTCCTTTATGTCCATATTAAGAGTTCCACATTCTAGTTTCAAACAATCCTTACCTTTTTACCAATTAGAACAACCATAAAAATTTTAATGTCATCAGATCGATAGACCACTAGCAGCGTGATAGATTTCAAGGAAAAAGGAACAAAAAAGTTAAGTAATAAAGTGTTCCACACACAACAGTTTTTATAAAATTTAATATTTATTTCGATACTTAAAGTCTATAAATGTGTGTGAAGTTCCGAGTTCCGGTCTGTAGTCATAAGAGTCGCAATGGTATTTTGGGAAGAAGTATTGACTAGGATGGCCTGGATTCGAAACTTTGAAATAGTGACTAATATATTATCAGGGTTGCTACAGAAAATCTATTTTGAAATTCCCTGACTTTTACATGTTTTTCAAACGACAGTGGGGAATTTTCCATAACCAACATATAATCTTTAATTTTAATGTTTAGGAACAGGGATTACAGAAAAAGTAGCTTATATTATTAAAAGCAACACAAATTTAGTTTAGTAACATAATATTCGTAACATATATTCCTGAAAATGCATTCAGGTTAACAAAAATTATATGAATATTGGAAAGAAGAATGTAGTTATGAGACGAAAAAGGGATGATTGAAGTGAAAAAACTCTGAATAAAATATAAATTTTAATTATTTTGTTAACACACAATCATGCTGCATGGACTAGCATAGATGTATATATATTCAATATAAACTAAGAAAATTTTATTTATTTTTTAAATAACATTTGAATTCCTATACTATACCTATAAACTTTTAACATTAAAATAAAAAAAATAAACTTGACATCATAATAAAATCCCTAATGACCCTAGGTTTAGTAAGTGTTTAGAGATCGTATATTCTTCTCTTATAACCCAGAGGAGGGTTATTTATTTATCTTAATTTCTTATTATTATTTATTTTAATTTCAAAGAATTGTCAAGGAAAGGCCAAAATTCAAGGTTATTTTATATTTTTCCCTGACATATCCCGGTTTTCCATGACAAATTTAAATTCCATGACTTTTCCCGTTTTTCCTGGTTTTTCAAGTCTGTAGCAACCCTGAATATATATACAGTATAATTCTACTGCGTTGCTGGAACGTGCTCGCACAGGTTTTAGCGACTTGTGCAAGTATATTCTACTACGCAAGTATTTCTATATAAACGCGTGCCTGTAATAGTTTTTTTACGAGTCTTCAGTTAAACATGATAAGTGTTGTAATCAAATTTCTATAGCCACATCGTGACAATTTCGAATTGATGGTCTACCACGTAGTGTATTGATCTGATGACATTGAAATCTCTAATTTTTTTAATTGGTAAAAAAATGAAGGGTATCTGGAGAATTTGGAATTCTTAATATGGACATAAGGACTACTATTTGGAACAAACTGCATTCCAAAAATACGTTTCTACCTCTGGTTCTCCCCTTGTGAGATATTATATGAGAAAAATGTGATCGAAGGACTCGAATTGCCAATATAAATTTGGTATCTCTGTAGGCAGCGAACCAAGACGAGATTAACTTAATAGTATGCCGAATGCGTGTGTATTATCTACATATTTACATACAGGACAAAAACACAAAAGCGTACGTTGTAAGAGGAGCGCGGTCGGTTATGGCTAATTAATCAGCGAACGGGTCAAATCTGCAAAGTGGAGGAGGGGAAGGAAGGGGAGTGCGGCGAGAGCGGTATTCGCTTGTGTATTCCGCGTGTGTACTTTGCGTAAAATAAAATTAAAAAAAGACAAAGAAGGGGAAAGGAGACACCGTTTTTCGTCGCGCAATTTATTCCGCTCGGACAGAAAAGCGGAAGAAAGAGTACGGCGCCAAATACGATGACGGGACAGAAAAACGGGTGGGATTTTTCGCTCGTTGTTTACTTTATGGAAATAGTAGTGGCAAACACAAGCCGGTTCTAGCCGGCTCGCCGCGAGTGTACGAACTGAGAAAGAAAAATGCTAATATGTCTTTTGCTATTTCGTTCGTTCGGGAACGTCGTCGCTGCCTCGGCATCCTTTGACACCGCTTCTCGATGGATCTTCGCGGAGTGAGTTTGCGTTAGCTTTCCGTGGGAAAGCGGTCGAGGAATTTTTGCAGGTGGCTTCGGAAGTATTTTTGACTAGAAATTAATCGAGAAATCTCGCGTGAACGAGTTAGCCAGAAAGTATCTCCGTTTAGAAATATTACTCAATTAAAACAGAAAATAGAAGAGAGAAAGAAAGATAAATTTGCATGAGATTTTAGAAAAATCTCTCCGTGTGCGATTTGAGAACAGTTTTCTTGAACCAGTGCTCGGAATTACTTGTACAAATGAGGCAATTTTTGAGAGTTACCCCCCTTTACTTTCCTTTACCGTTCGTCCGGCGGGTCACGCAATGTAAAAGAATATGTGAAAGAATTGTCTCTTCAAGACTTGGTTTTGAGAACTTTTCAGATGAAGCGCCTCACAGACTTCGTAATATCAACGATTCTGAGGCCAAGCGCCGCGATTGTTGCGTGGCCCGTTTGGACGAGCTGTAGCGATAAGGGGAAGTAAGATAGGCGTATCCCTCGGAAATCGACTCGTTTATACAAATAATTCCGAGCATTGTTTTAAGCGATTAGACATCTATCCGAATGCCGTGTGATCATTTTAGGAAATTAAAAAAATTTCTCCGAATACTGGGGCGGTCGCGACGGTTGTTGACAGACGACTGTTTGACGCTCTTTATACGCTCCGAAACACTCATCGAGGAGGAAAGCCCCGTGGCGGCGATCCGACGGTGTGTCCGCGGGAAACTTTCCTCTCTGCTTTATCCGAGCATCTCACCGGATCACCAAGGAATCATATCACTGTGTCGCGTCAAACGGGATGCCTTTGATTTCACGTGTTGAAACCCGCGTTTGTGAGGCAACGCTTCTCGCGCTTCTGCGACTCGCGACTTTCCGTCTCGCTGTTCCCGTAATTCCGCGCTAACTCGAACTGACCGAAATACCGGCGAACCTTTTCGTCCTCCCGCTCGGTGACGACAGTTCCTTGGCGATCCGCGGGCCAACAGGTCGTTCGAGTACCTGGATCGATCGGTCTCGCGCGTCGCCCGCCGGGTTCATTAAGTCTTCTCCTGGCTCCGCTTGCTCTGAGTGCTTGGGGCCCAAGGTCACAAGGAATGGTACTCGCCCAGCACGAGGCCGCTGTGGTAAGTCGCGTGCGTCGTGGACATCCCCATCGAGCCCATGCTCTGGTAGGCGCCCATGCCCATGCCGTTCATCGACATGGTGTTCATGGTGTTGACGCCCTGCATGGTGTTGGACAGCATCGTCGAGGGGCCCATCGGGCTCAGCCCGCCCATTGAGGGCGCGATCGCGCCCATTTGCATCGACGTCGCCGTATGCGGCAAGGACTTCTGCAGATCCGCGGAGGTCGGCGTGCCGATCAGGTAGTCCTGCGACAGAAAACGGCGATCTTCGCACTCCTGCGATCCGTCTCGACGTGTCGCGAGAAGACACACACGTATCTGTCGGAGAACGAGGGACATATCTTTGGGCCCTTGCGCTCGTGCAAACTCTCTCGCGCCGGAACTCGAATATCGCGCGAGTCTGGCCTCGCTGTGTTCGTAGATTCTCTCATTTTTTTGATATTTTTCAATGTTTTTATATTTTTAATATTTTATACCTTTGAATCTTTGTTTGCCCGTGACGTAAAAATTTCATATATCCTATTACCGTATACCGAAATCAGATAATAGTATCTTCATCTCCAAGGAACACAAAGCAAAAAACCGAAAGTCTACATTTCATCAGTTTCGCCGATTGAAGATGGAAATCCAAAAATAATTAAAAAAGAAATTAAGTGGTAATCTCTCTCTCACCTGTGGACTGTAGTACTGCATGTAATCCAGCTGGCTCTTCTGCTGAGCGCAGCTGGGCGGTGGTGGCGGTAAGGTGGCGGTGGGATGAACCAGGCCGTGGGTACCGTGAGCGCCGACCTGAAGATGATGCTGCAGCTGATGATGGAGATTCCTCTTGTCATCGCCGCTTTCGCTGCTCGTGTCGTGGTGCTGCATGTGCGGGTGGCTCAGGGTCGAGCTGTGACCCTGGTGATACGAGTGCGGACTGGACACCGAGACCGGAGGCGGAAGCTGGTACATGCCAGAGGTTTGCTGATGGTCCACCATCTGTTGTTGCTGTTGTTGAACAGCGCAAGAGGACGGCGGCTGCTGTTGTTGTTGCTGCTGTTGGCCGGACTGCCGCTTGGTTTCGTCGCCGCTCTCGCTGCTGGAGTCCCCGAGGCCCCCGCCGTGGGCCTTATCTTCCCTCTGGCCACTGAAACAGCACGTGACGTTCGCACTTGAAAAAAAGAAGAGAACAGGGGGGGG